CTTCAAGGGATGTAAATGTAAAATTTGAAACTTTAATAAAAATCAACGAGCTTTGGATGAGCATTCTATCGAGGACCAAATTTGTGAGTATATTAGCATACATGCATAAGATAATTGCAGTATGAATGTATGATAGATGCAAGGATGGACTTTGTAAGATGTCGAAGCCAATGTATACACTCGGGTGTGTATATAACAGAGATCAACTTTTGTTCCTATCAAAATATTTGTGCAGCACTGATTGCTACGTACTAATAATTCCCGTAGGAACACACAAGATTACTACTAGGCTCCAACGCAATCTCCCACTACTACTGATCAGTTGGCCAGGGTGTGGGGAGCGCAGCTGTCCCGTGTACGCCAGACAAGAATTTGATTAAACTTGACATGCTTCGACTCTCCAATAATATTTAAATAACTTATAATTTAAGATGAAGAAAGTAAAATAAAATTGTATGGTGGTGTGACACAAAGAAAATACTTACTACTAATTAGATTAGATTAGAACCTAATTAAAATCGGATGGCAGAAATAAATAAATAAAACAACAACAGGTCTTTGCATGCTGCCGTATTGATTTTACAATGCTTAAAAAGATATGGGAAACAATAGTATATGATCAGTACACGTTGCTTCCATGGATTATCAGTAGGGATGAAAACGGATCGGATATCATCGATATTGTATTTGTTTTTATATTTCTGTTCGAATTCGGATTCGAATACGGATAGTAGTAGCTATGTCGGATAGGATACGATTGGATATCAACATCATAAATATATGATTTGAGTCTTCAGATATAGATACGGTATCAGATGATGAATATTCGGACTTAGATATGGACAAATTTAAACTCCTAAGACCAGTCTCAACCATCATTTTATATGAATTTCATGCGTATTAAATGAGATGCCACGTCAGCGAAACGATGACACGGCAAAGAAATCTAGAGGAGAGAGAGGATGGTCGTTTCATCACGGTGAAACGAGTTCACACCGTTTCCAAGACGTCGGAAATCGCGTGAAACGTGCACTGAGGCCTTTCCGTGTCATCTTGGCTGCTTTCCCCGATCCAGCGTGGCTGCCTGCACCATGGTACCCGTTCTCCTGCCATTCCCCGATCCGCGTTCGTACATGTAAACACTACAGCCAAAAATCAAAAGCCAGCATCCTCGCCGGCACCATCGTGGAATGAGCCAAGGGATGAGTCGCCAGCAGCCTGCCATCGTCTGCACTAGAAGGCATGAGATTGTGGCCATCGTCTGTACCAGAAGCCATGCCTAGGCCTTCTTTAGATGATATTAAAGTTCCAAATTTTTTCACTATCTCTCCATCATATTAATTTTTAAATACATGCATAAAGTATTAAATGTAGGTAAAAAAAGTAACTAATTATACAGTTTGGTTGTAAATCACGAGACGAATCTTTTGAGCCTAGTTAGTCCATGATCGGACAAAGTTTGTCAAATACAAACGAAACATGCTACAGTGTCCAAATTACAAAAATTTACAATCTAAACAAAGCCCTAAGCTATTTTTTAGCTATGAAGCAGGATTTTTCTCTCACAACATGGTGCATTAATAAAACTGAGTAAAGAAGCAACCTTTGTGGCTCTAGATTTTCTTCTGCAATCTTTTTTAGTAGTCGACGTTTTTGGCTCGAGTTCAAGTAGTGCTTTTTTTATCTAAAATAAAATGACTATATAGTTTACATTGCATATTTGATCATGATACCATTCAAGAATTAAATGCTATAATTAGCCTATGAAACAGTGAAACAAGCTTGTGCGCAAGTTTCATTCATCTGAAAAGTTGTCATAATAGTCCCGGAAACGGTAACGTGAAACTCATGCTGAGACCGGCCTAAACGGATCAGGTCTCGAATACTATCAGGAAATATATATGTACCGTTTTCACCTGTTTATCAGGCGCTGGGATACGCCCAGTCGACCCGCAAGCTACGGCCGCCGAAGCTGTAGCAGTTGAGGTCCTCAACAGCCACCTCCGCGTCCTCTCGGCGCTCGAACACCACGCACGCGAGCCCCTTGCACTTGCCGGGCCCGTCCATGGCGACGTGCCACATCCGCAGGGGCCCGAACGCGGCGAAGAGCCCGGCCAGGTCGGCCGGCCGGCAGGTTGCTCGCACGCAGGAACCAGCGGTGCTCGGAGAGGGCGCCCCTGCCTTCCATCCAGGCGGTGACCCTCGCCCGGCAGGGCACGTACGACGACGCGGCGGCGGGGGCGAGGTAGTTGTAAGGGCACGTCAGCTCCGTGTGCCCCGCCGCGTTCGGGTCCTCCTCCTCCCCGCAGATGCAGCAGGGCTCGGCGTTCGGGTCCTTCCAGAAGTTGATGGCAGAGCTCGCGTCCAGATCCATCGTTGCCCCTGACGAAGCTATATGATCGTTGTTGAATTCAAGAATTTTTTTATAGGTGGTGATCACGACGCAATCCGTGGCACAGATCCGGACAACTTGTTTTGCTATACGGAAACAGGAAAATTCCTATCTGGAGTACAACAGCAACAACATAGTCCATGTCGATGTGGGACTCTGATGGAGACCTGAACCATTACTACTCCACATCACAATTTTCTCATCATCTCGCAATCCAACAAGCGAATAACATCGCGCACAAAACCAGTATGATCAAGATCCTGTCAAAAACCTGACACAAATGCCTTCACATCATCGCCCTTCACTTCAACCCAGCTACACCCAGGAGCCTTCTTGACGCCGTGCTCAGCCATAGCTCTTCTCATCCGCTCAGCCTCGCTCACTGCCCAGTGGCGCAGAACAGGTTGGAAGTTGTAACAGCATGACATAGCCCGCGTCTCTCGCGGGCTCGGCCGCCACCATGTCTTGCCCAGATACCTTCCTTGCAACCCCAGCGTTCAGGTGCTCCGATGAGCACGCGCTGAGCAGAGCTTCATGGACGTCGCTGCTGCGCGTCTAAACTGTCTCTGAATAATGTTCCAGTATCTCAGTAGCCTTTGTGATGTTCCCTGATCTCGCGTACACGCAAGCCAGATGCTCTGTCTTTGGTTGGATTCCATGCGCAGACACCATTGATTCAAACAAGGTCTTCTTCCCTTGCTCCAGAAGGCCGTCACCTCGTCGGGGCAGACACCGTTGGATTTCATGCTGTCATACATCGCCAGTGCTTCATTTGCCCATCCATTCATCGCGAACCCGAACAGCATTGTGTTCCATGAGATCAGATCCTTATCAGAAATGCCAATGAACACATGTCCATCAAGCTGTTGGCAACATACAAGTAGGATGCAAACCCACTTTGGAACGCCTTGCCATGGACTATCCTAGTATCCTTCCACTTGCCAGAGATGCCGCCGTAGCACAAGCATGCAGCACAGCCCCAATTCCCCAAATGTGAAGTCATCCGAGTGGATGTGTTCATGCTGTGCCAACATCTTGACAAAAAAAAGCACAAGGGTTTCATCAGGACAGCCATTCCTTGTTGAGAGAAAATCATTGCAGTCCGTCCATGGCTTACATTGGTTTCAGGTATGCTTTGAACGTTGAGAGCTCTACACAGCCAATTAAGCTCCATGTGAGCATCGATCAGTTTTTCCATGAACAATAAACAGCATCGATCTTATGAACTCAAAACTGCTGAACTGCAAAGCCGGTAGACGGTTCAGGTAGCTCTTCGTGCGATGCATCAACAAGAATGCAGAATTGCAGATGCGTTGCATCGTCACAGGTCAGTCCCGACATCCGCATCTCATTGAACAGAAGCAATGCCACCGCGTGAACAGCCCATAAAAGTGTGTTCCAGGTGACATTGAACTGCAAAGCCGGTAGACGGTTCAGGTAGCTCTGTGCAAGCATCAACAAGAATGCAGAATTGCAGAGCGTTGCATCGTCACAGGTCAGTCCCGACATCCGCATCTCATTGAACAGAAGCAATGCCACCGCGTGAACAGCCCATAAGAAGTGTGTTCCAGGCGACATTGAGGACGAGATGATGGTGCGCGCCAAGCGGCGGGCGGCGCGGCCGTGCGGGAGGGTTGGGGTCCTTGGCCCTTGGGCGTGGGGGGGGCGACGTGGCGGGAGGCAGGGGTCCGCGTGCCCGTGTAGTTTGGACGAAAAGGAATCGTGGTCTCGACGAGAAATCACGGCCGGTCCGGGTAAAAAAAAAAGTTGGCGACCGGTGCCAAGCGGCGCAAGGCGGACGATGGCCGTCTGGGTGGGTGACGCCAACAATCTGAGACGGGTGACACGTTCGCTCTGGTTTGGGCAGCCTTTTGTTTCCGGCTCGAGGAGACGACGCCGCTGCGTGGCTCAGCCTCCGGGGCCAGGCTTGGGTCGCGACTCGCGAGAGAGCTCGTCCCTGAAACCGAAAGGCAGCGGCGCCGGCGCCGGTGCCGAGAGTGTGCGGGAGCTGCGCGTGAGTCGACCGGCCGGCGCGGTGTCACTTCGGGCGCATGCTGCCTGGTGGTGCCAATGCCCAGAGCTGAGCGCCTGAACATGCGCTGATGGCGACTGCACAATTTGTGTTCTACTGTTACCAGTGGCACCTGTTCCCACCCTGATTCTCGTAGCTTCTCTTCGACGATCCTTTACTAACGGTGGCAAAAGCAAAAAAAAAAAAAAAGGTATCTTGTTTTTTCCCTCAAACACAGAAGCAGATGGCTTTTCGCATCCTTCAGAGACCCAAACAACTCACAACAACAGAACAAAGCCAACACAGACATAACGAATCAGGTTTGGTTTGCAATATACGCGATGCTTTTATAGCAAGACTCGACGAAACAAATGGTTTCCACAGATAATAAGGTAGTAGTACTGTACAACCACAGCAACTCCTCAATGGAGAGTTTCTACGTTTCCACACATTCACACGATAGCAAATTCAGGTACTGAGCACGTTCGGACCTTCGTCAGGACTCTGGTTACTTGGACCTTAGGTTTGTTTCCTTGAAACGAACTTGAACCTGAACCTTGCAGAGTTGCAGCGTCCATGCTATAGCGTGTACCCTCTTCAGGAGATTGGGATGACCCGTGATTTTGGCTTGCCGTTGCGCCTTGGATCACGGCCTTGCTCGGTCACAGGAAGCGCCCAGCCCCAGGCCGATCGCCCGTCACGTCCATTGGAGCTACGGTTACCTGCAGTACACCAACAGGTGGAGAACTCAAGGTTAGAGAAGGTGGCCGATGCAACAATGCAACATTCGATCTCGATGGATCAACATGACTTGCAGAGGACCATCTTGACAAACCACCCATAGAAAACCTTTGACACATTCAGAACTACAACAGACAGCCCCCGACATTTTATTTCAGGATTTTAGAGTTCAAACATAATTTCAGTTATTAAAGTATGCTGCAATTTTGTTTGCTACATAAACCTTTGCGCCAGTAACTGTTGCTAAGCAGGAGTAATCACCTAGCAAACCAGTATAGAAGGAAGTAAGACTACAAGGATGGGCATCAAGCGAGATGCTCATGTTTACATGCTCATAACCATGGGTGACCCTGCTTGTTGCCAGGTATGTACATGCGTCCTGGAGCAAGATTTCATCCTAACCATTTCTAGAATCCAAAGTAGTCATTAATGTCGCCATGGAATCATGGACACTGTTTCTCTAATGCACTCAAGGCTTACTTTTTCCTCCAATTATCGTAATTTGTTCCATGTTCAAACCAAACATGTGATCTTTCATTAGTAGCTTCAGTACAAAATTAATGTTATAGGGACTTTGCTTGTACATGGCTACTGGACACAATCTTGAAGCATGTCAGCTCCTAAACCCACTAGGCACTGAAGCAATATAAGAAAATCGTAACTGAACTATGCACTTTATGCTCCACAGTGCAGACAGTTAAATAATTCGGTGTGGGAAAAAAATGCAAGAGGCCAAGAGCAGCAATACCCACACAATGTGCACTGAGTCCTGTAAAAGATGCTCAAGCAACAAGTTTATCTCCACAGTGTTCATCTCAGATTACGCTAGTGTTTATTAAATGAAAAAGAAAAATGCTTTTGTTTTATAGATTTGTAGTACTTCATATTTCAACATCTACTTGTTGATGTACACTGTAGGTAGCGTCTCACTAAGAAGTCAGAAGGCAGTCTCACTATAGTTCTCACTTATGATGACATTCACTAGGACTTCAACTTGGTATAAATAAAGACAGACCAAATGCAAGTGCATGGTGGACGACAACCTAACTTAGAAGGAATGGAATCTTCTTCAACAATTAATAATGCTAAAAAAACAAATTATCTGTCTTCAGAAAGTACAACCTACTTGGTTGATCAAGTCTATTGAGAAGCAATTTGCATAACTTCTTATACAAATATAAAGCACGACTTACCAGAATTATCACTATTAGGTGCACCAGCATTTTGGTTCCAGCCAGGCAAGTAATGTCCAGCATTCCCCTTCCATGATTCCTCAAATCCAGCTAGTTCATCTATAAAGTACTTGAGTTAGAATTAATGAAAATTGAATCTCAGCCACATCAAAGGAAGCTAGACATATCAAACTAACCTTCATTCAGGTTGTGCAGCGTCTGTGTGGTGTCAACCTTCCCATCTGAATTCAGTTTCCTTGTCAGGGAATGGCCCTAAAAAAATTCAAAGAAAAATTAGTTATACAGCACCAAATTCAAGGCTAATTTGTTTTTGCCTTTTTTGATCCATTAGCAATTGATAAGTCAACTTTGTGCTAGGCACACAATCGTGTGTGCACCGGGCTACTCAATATAATTTTGATTAATCAAGTACAGCTCTGAACATAGCAAAGATTGTCAACCTTATCATGAATTCCACGGGAGATTCTATGAGTGGCCTCTTTAATTGTTGTATCTGCTTCCTTGCTTTCTTCCACAGTGATCTGCAAGAAGCATAAGTATCGTCACTTCTACCTCCAAGAACCACAAAATAAGGCATCACTTGCAGCTTCCTAAGAAACTAGCTTACCCCATCACTGCCAGTCCGCCGAGTCTTTGAAGCAGTGTAGTAAGCTCCATTAATACCACCATACGTCACGGAAGAGCTCTGATATGTGAAAGTACGAGCCTGCGGCTGCCCTCCACTATTAGCCCTATTGAGATCCCTGTGCAGCTGGACTGGGCCACCTTCTGTCCCTACAAAGAAACAAATCAAAAGATGTGAAACATACATATCATGCTTGCAACAACTCCATGAAACTAGACAAGTAAACCGAATCATCCAGGCTCCTACCATCACTCCCATCATCCGGCTCCTGAACATAAGAGTCTTGGTTGGGTTGCTTGTTAGCGTGCTCTGCATTTTCTGCCTCATCCTCATCAACCTCTGTGATCACAGGCCTTCTGCTGATACCCCTAGGAGGAGCTTGCTCGATGAACCCATCATTCCCCATGTCCCCGAAAGGCCCTCCCATCGGCCCAAAAGGGCTAGGTCCAAACATGTCATGGTCACCCATCATCCGACCCCCAAATGGACGGGTAAAGAAGGGATCGTCAAATGGATCCCTCCCTCTAAAGAAGCTAGAAATCAAGCTCCTGTGGGGGCCAAAGCCGACAAACCCAGCAAATGGATCCCTGCGCCTGAAGCCTTTCCCGTTCTGCCCTCTATCCATTTCACAGAAATTAGGTGGGCTCTGCAAGCTGCAATAGTTATGGTAGTAGTGAGTTACTCGCAACAATTTATCACACACACAGTAATAAGCATCATAGAATGCGAAATTTCTCATGCAAGCATCCTTCCATTCCTTCCCCAAACAAAACTATTGAAACTTGAGAAAGGTAGTAAACAATTGTGCTGAGCATAAGCATCGCTAAATGGGTTTAATCAATAAAGAAATTTGCGCCCATATGGGTATCTACCTTTAATCCCCCCCTTTTTTCCTAAGAAAAGACCTAACCCATCGGTGGTTCGAGGAGAGCTAATACACCATCGACATGCACGCACATTCCTGGCTCAATCGAATGAATAGAACACCGCCACCAATCCGACCAGCAAGGTATCAAACCGAAATGCGCAACAAGCGCTGAGCGCTGGAGACTACACGACGAACGCTCCAGCGATCCCTAACTGCCTAGCAGGAAATTAACCGAAGAGTATATCCCTGCCGTCGTTACCTGAAGGCTGAAGGCGGAAGGCCCTCCTGGAGCGCGCGCGCTAGGGGACGGCCGTCTAAGGGAGGGATCGGCGGAGGAACTCCGGAACCTGGTGGCCGGGGACGGCTTTTATTTTGGGTTGGCGAATGAACGGGGGTGGTCGGATTGGGGAGAGACGAGGAAATTAGTGAATGGGGGTGGTCGGAACCTGTGTGTGGTGTCTGGAATTTGCCTTCTCCCGAACGTTCGGGTCGTGGAGGTCCGCGAACCATCCAGACTGCGTGCTTGAAATTGTTACTCAGGGCTCAGGCACTCAGCTCTCCGGCTGCTATTTTTTTTATTTTTAATCATTTTTAAAAGAAATTTTAAAACTAACCCCAACTGCCTTTTATCAGGCACTCGAGAAGTTAAATAATTTTACATTTTAATTAAAATATTTATAAGGTATTAATATTTTATAGTAAATGTATTTAATGATATGAATGCTGTTATTTTTGTAAATCTAACTAAACTTTAAATTATTTGACTCTATGTTAAATGAGAGATTTTTTTTGGACTGATGAAGTAGTAGTACAACGCTAGGCATCTGGCATTGCAAAGATCTAGGGAGCCTTTGTTGGTTACCAAACTACGCGGCACCATGCCGCACTTTTTGCACCGTAGACGAGGCAAGCGTTTGATTCGCTTCCGTAATCTGCCGCAATTGCGGCATGCCGCGCCCGCAACCCACTCCCGCAGTTCATTTGCGAGGCCACAATCTGCCGCAGTTGCGGCAGCCGAATTCGACGCCGTAATTACGGTGCGGCCGCAGCTGAGGCGCGGCATCCCACGGCAAGAACCAAACGAACCCCTACTATCCTGCAAAATTCAATATTAAACAAATTTTTGTGGAAGGAGAAAAGGAAATGAGAAATTAATATATAAATTGTCAGGGATACAATTGTGCATGTGGGGTCCATAATCATAACTATTCAAGTGTTGATTTTTCTTTTTCCCCTTTCATAAAATTTTGTTTACCCTCAAATCTATCTCTTATAAAAGCAAAAACCTCACTTATCTCTCAATCTTCACATGCAAGTCATCCACATCCACATTGTGTACTCCACTGAAGTGCCACATCATCCCCAGATAATTACCACAACATCTTCCACTAAATCCAATTACTATTTTTAGTTAGTCAACACACAAGATATCCACATTGTACTATTTGTTAGCCTATCATATTCTTCTATAATTTAATCTATTTTTCTATAAATATTTTATTTGAAAGTCCTACGACAACATGTGAGGTATTCTTCTAATTATGCGTGATGGTAAATCCACTTCTGTTGAATTTTATGTGTTGACCCACTAGGACCATCTAAACTTCTGGTAGGCTCCGAGCATTCTAACTTTGAAATATTTAACCTAATATTTTTAAATTTACTCTAGCAAAATAATGGTCTAATAAATAACTTGTTGATTATATTTTTTTTTACAAAAATGTCATTCTGACAAATTTTAAAAAGAAACTAAAAATATGACCAAAAAATCCCTTCCTTCCATATGACCGGAAGCCTCATCCCCATATGTTTTATAATAAATTTGCTATCTCACACTTCGAGAAGTAAACTAATTTTAGGTCTGACTAAATTAAAAAGAAATAATGTTAATATTTGCATCTGTAAATAAGTTTACTGAAATAAGTGGCGTTTTTGTTTCTCGAGGAGTCAAACGTTTTCAACTTTAACCAAATATATACAACAAAATATTAATGTTTATAGTACTCAATTAGTATTATTAGATAGATCGTTGAAATATTTTCATAATAAACTTATTCGAAGATACAAACGTTGCTAATATTTTCTAAAAAAAACTAGTCAATTTGAAAAGAGTTTGACCGGCACAGATACCGTTGCAACACTTATTTTGAATAGAGGGAGTATAACACAATTAATCTAATAGTGTCTACTACTCCGTATTTGGTATAATAAGTATTATTATTTTATATATTTGATCAATTGATTGATTTTTATAAGATGTGTACTGTATTTATTTTTGATGCCGAGAGAGTACTTACTCCGTACTATTTTTGTTCGAGGAACAAATTTTTTGAAGGCTCCTCGCATGGTCCACAAAGCCGCAGCTCCGGTCGGTCGTCTCGAAGAGGAAGGGATTTCTTCCTCGCCAGCGAAGACGACAAAATTCACTTTCCCGGTTTCCCCCAACAGGCCAACACTTCCGTCTTCTTCCTCGCGCTGCCTTCGCCTCGGAGCGCGGCTCCGCCTCTGCCATCTCCGCGCTCCGAGCCCGCTTCGACTCTTCGAGCTCCACTTGCTCGATCTCTCCCATCTTTGAGCCCGTCACCCCCATTCTAGATTATAGCTCCTCTCCGTCCCCGTCTTAACCGTCTAGATCTAGGCGGGGTGGATGCAGTCTGCTGTGATGTGAAGGGAGGAACCTATCGACCAAGTTCGATCATTTACTTCCGTTCCGATGTCAGAATGGGCAGAATCCTGTGTCTCGGAGGTCGGATGCCGCACACTGGTGGAGCTTGGGTACATGCCGGAGAAGCCACTGATTGGATGGCGGCCGGCGGCCGGCGACGCGGTCCCGGCGCCGAACGCCGGTGAGATCGTGGTCTTCGCGCCCTTCTTCGAGCGTGGGTTCTCGGTGCCGACGCACCCGTTCTTCCGCCGTCTCCTCGATTACTACGGCCTGCAGCTTCACCACTTGAACCCTAACGGTATACTCCACATCTCAATCTTCATCACTTTGTGCGAGGCGTATCTGGGAATCGAGCCGCACTTGGGTATGTGGAAATGGCTATACCATGTCAAGCCAGCAAGCAAGCTAGACCCCAACAACACCATTGGAGGAGCCGGCATCCAGCTTCGTTCGAGGACGCCATACGTCTCCATCCCGCTGCGGACATCCAACAAAGGATGGCACTCGAGGTGGTTTTACTGCCGGAACGAGAAGCCATCACTGCCTGACTTCGTTGCTGACCATTGCCCTGTTAAGCTGCCGTCGTGGAATAATCCCCCATCTGCCGACGAGATGGCCGAGGTGGAGAAGATCATCCCACACCTCAATGAATTGATCCAAGATGGCCTCGACGGAGCCGATTTGATCGCTACCTTCTTGTCTCGTCGGATCCAACCGATCAAGAAGAGGTGCCATCGGATGTCTGAATTCACCGGTAATTCTGACCCCACACGGGAGACGCCTGTGAAGTTGCCTGAAGATGAGATTTTTTCCCGGGTGGCCCATCTTCTGTCAACTGATACTAAGATTTGCACCCATGGCAAGCCACTTCCGTGTCATCACAAAAGACCAGTGAAACATGTCAGCGTTCCTTTTGTCTTGAGTTTTTCTTATAACTTATATAATATAAGCTGTTGAATCATTAGTGCTAATTGATCGATGCTCTTGTTACAGGACCTGAGCAAGTACCTTTCCGTGACTCTGGAGGAAGACGAAGAGGGAGCCATGCCACAGACGACAGACGCCGCCACCCTTGTCAGCCAGCCCCCTCTGAAGAACCCGAGGATCCCTGGTGCTGGCTCCTCTGGGGAGTCTGTCCAACAGAAGGCCAAGGAAGTTGTGGCCCGCTCCTGCAGTGATCTGGCACAACAGAGAGAGTCCGGCAACAGTGCGCCAATTGCCCAGCCGCCGTCTGACGACGAGGATACGGAGACCCTGTCCCATAGGAAGAAGAGAAAGTTCGCTGAGGCCCTCGCTTGCTCCACTGTAGACGTCGGGTCTGTGCACGTGTCGCCTCCACAGGCAGCCTCTCTGCCACCTCAATCGGAGCCATGTCCACTCCGGTCATCGCCGGCACTTCATGCTTCTCCTACCACTACAACGCTGCCCACCTTGACTGCTCCCAAGTCAATCAAGACGACACACGTGCCTTGCCGACCTCTCCCGCATGACAACCTGGGGTCTAGTCAGCAGTCGGATGGGTTCGCTACGGACTCTGTTGAAGTGGAGGGAGAGGTACATGGAAAGAAGGCCGAGGAGGAGCCAGGGATGCTCTATGTCCAGATGAAGGACACGGAGAGCAAGCTGCTATGGGAGATCGATGATGAGAAGGAGCGCACCGAGGTCGAGTGGGAGAAGGTCAAGGAGGCTGCAACGTCCTTCATGACTAGACTCCCTGAGATGACTCTCAGCCTCAAGCGTGCCTCCGAGATGATAGTTAAATTGAAGAAGGAGAACAAGGATCTGGAAGTTAAATTGAAGCAGGAAAACAAGGATCTGGAAGTTAAATTGAAGCAGGAGAACAAGGAGCTGGAAGTCAAATTGAAGCAGGAGAACAAGGAGCTGGAAGTCAAATTGAAGCAGGAGAACAAGGAGCTAGAAGTTAAACTGAAGCAGGAGAACGAGGTTGCTCGAGGTAAATTTCTTCTGACTCCCGGAGTTGTTTTTAATTTGGATGTGTTATGGGCTGTAACCTGGTCCGATTCTTGTAGCTTTTGAGAAGAAGGCCAGCGATCTGTCTAAGGAGCTTGACATTGTGCGCGCGGATCGCGATTCCCTCAGCTGGGGGTTCCAGGATGCCAAGAAGAAAGCTGCTGGTAAGCCCGTGACTTATTCTCAGCACTTGTATATCGCTTTATTTATCATCTTGATCGATGCAGCATGAGCTATTTGTGTGATTACAGACTTGTGTGATGCCTTTGATGCTATTCAAGCTGCCTGCGACAAGTTCTCGATTGACAATCCGACCCCGGACGGTGTTGAGGCTGTCACCGAGTGACTGGGTAACTTCCCTGAGCTGACTGAAGCAGCAGCAGCAGCTGATGGGGGACACTGCCGCTTCAGGATGCAGTTAGCGCTTGCAACAAGAGGTTGACGACCTTATGGTGCAGTTGCACTTGCAGGCAAGGCCGGTAGGCAGAACTTTTGGAAACTGGGTCTGTATTACTTAATCATGGTCAATGCACCTATAATATATTCTGTGTTGAAGTACTCAGGAGATAGAGTAAGAGTTAATTATGTATATATTTAGGGCCTTTTTGGATCCATTAGCTGCTAATAGTTAGTTAGCTAATTAATAGCTGATAGATAATATTAGTAAGCGAACTATTAGCAGGTTTGGCCCAACTAGTAAGATAATTGTTAGCTGGGTATTAGCTAGCAATTAGGTAGACTATTAGTTGGACCTGTTTGATCCTAAAGAGCTAGTTATTAGTTGCTAACTAATAGCTATATGAATGCAAACAGGCGTATGTTTCAGTTCTTTGATGGTTCTTTAGTTTTAGATCCATGACAGTACTCCGAGATTACAGTGTGTGTGGTGTCTGGAATTTGCCTTGTCGAACGTTCGGGTCGCGGAGGCACGCGAACCTTCCAAGCTGGACGTGCTCGGAAGAAATTGGTACTCGGGCTGATCCGCTGATGGGTTAATGGTCACCCTTCCGTCCTAAATAAAAAAATATACATATTATTTCTCAAAAAGTCAAATAGTCTTGCATAAAAAAGAAGTCAAATAATCATATTATAAGACATTAATATTTGTGATATATAATAAATAATAATAATAATATTATTATTATTATTAAAATAGACTATATTTTTATAGTAAAAATATTTAAAAATATAAGTGTTAATATTTTTATATTTCAAATCAAGCTTTAAATTATTTGACTATATGGAAAATAGGAGTTCTATGTTTTTTTTTTGCCCCGTTCGCTGGTCTAAACTTTGGCTGAAAAACACCGTTCCGGTTGAATTGTTGTGAGAGAAAAATACTGTTCCGGCTGAAAAAATAAGCCGAACAAGCCAAATTAAAGACAAGACAAGCGAGGCCTTTGTTTTTAGACTGAGGAAGTAGTAGTACAATGCTAGACATCAGTCAATGCAAGCAGCAGCTGTAGCCTTAGAATAATCACAGTGGAGCATAGTATATAAGGATCTACTATCCTGCAAAACTTCATATTTTTTGTGAGTTTCTGCAAAATTTAATTTAAACAAACTTTTGTGGAAGGAGAAAAGGAAATGAGGAATCAACATACAAATAGTCACGGAGGAAACTTTGCATGTCTGGTCCATAATCACAACTATTCAATTGATGTTTTTTCCCCTTTTTTTCTCCTTTCATAAAGTTTTGTTTAACCTCAAATTCTGCATGATGGTAATTCCACCGATCATATTTTTCTATTGATTTTTTATGTGTTGAGTTGTTGACCCACTGGGATCACCTAAACTTCTTGTAGGCTCAGAGCGTTGTGTCTTTAAAATATTTAACCTAATATTTTTTAGTTCATCCTAGAAAACAATGGTCTAATAAATAACTTGTTGATTATATTTTTATAAAAATTGTCTCTAACAAATTTGTAAAAAGCAAACTAAAAATATATAAAAAAATCCCTTCCTTCCATATGATCGGAAGGCTCATCTCCATGTTCTATTGGTCATATATTGTGGAATTCATAAAAAAAACTCCCTTTGTTGCATAATAAATGGGCTATCTCACACTATGAGTAAACTAATCCTAAATTTAACTAAATTTATAAAAAAAATAATATTCACCCTGTTCTGTTGGTGGTATTTCAGCTGATTTCGACTGATTCAATAGTGTTTGTGTGAGAGAGAATAAGCCGAAATAAGAACAAGCCGGCTGAAAAGTAGATGAGCAGAATAGGGTGAAATATTTGTGTCGGGAACCTAATACCAGGGTACCCAAGGAGATGGAACTAATAACCATCGAACGTTAAAAACTCCCGAACGGACAAGAGCACCGCTGCGCTTCTTGCCCGAACGACGGGAGTTTTGGTTCCGCCTCGCCCGATGCCTGTCAGCCAGCTCCGTCTCCCCCGACGGCTGGGGGACGGCTCCACCTCGCCCGAGGGCTGAGCCCCGACGGCTGGGGGACGGCCCCGCCTCGCCCGAGGGCTGAGGGCTAGACTCCGCCTCGCCCGATGCCTGTCGGCCAGCTCCGCCTCCCCCGACGGCTGGAGAACGGCTCCGCCTCGCCCGAGGGCTGAGGGCTAGACTCCGCCTCGCCTGACAACTGTACCCCGCTCCCTCATGATGCTAGGCACAGGGTAGGACAAGACGTTCGGATCAACCGCAGCATCAAGGACCATGCTCTGTGCCCCTACAGGAGAGTACCGCCAGGGCATGACGGGACAGGCGCTTAGACCCTTCTAGACGTAGCAGAGCCTGAATAGTGTTGCAGGCGCGTGCTCTTCGCCCTACAGTGTTGTAGGCGCCACCTTCAGTCCCCAGGCGAGGAGTCCGACACAAACATACGACAACCACTACGTTCCAAGGGGGGACTTCCG